AAACAAGTATTGGTGAGGATGTGGAGAAAAAGGAAACCTCATGCACTGTTGTTGGAATGCAAACTGGTGCAGCCACTGTGGAAAACAGTATGGAGGGGCGCTTGGGTGGCTCAGTCGGTTGGGCGTCTGCCTTCGGCTCAGGTCATGACCCCAGAGTCCTGGGATCAAGCCCGGCATAGGGCTCCCTGCTCCGCGGGAAGCCTGCTTCCCCCTCTCCCACTCCCCCTGCTTGTTGTTCCCTCTCTCGCTGTCTCTGTCTCTGTCAAATAAATAAAATCTTTAAAAAAAAAAAATAGAAAACAGTATGGAGATTCCTCAAAAAATTAAAAATAGAACTACCATACGACCTAGTAATTCCACCACTGGCTATTTATCCAAAGAATATGAAAACACTAATTTGAAAAGATATATGCACCCTTATGTTTATTGCAACATTATTTACCATAGCAAAATTATGGAAGCAGCCCAAGTATCCATCCATAGATGGATCAAGAAGATGGGGCATATATATATACAAAGGAATATTACTCAGCCATAAAAGAAAAATGGAATCTTGCCATTTACAGCAACATGGAGGGATCCAGAGAATGTAATGCTAAGTGAAATAAGTCAGTCAGAGAAACACAAATGCCATATGATTTCACTCATATGTGGAATTTGAGAAATAAACAAAAAAAGAGACAAACCAAAAAACAGACTCTTAACTATAGAGAACAAACTGATGGTTACCAGAGGGGAGGTGGGTGCAGGGATGGGTGAAATAGGTGATGGGGATTAAGAGTACACTTATTGTGATGAGCACTGAACAATATATAGAATTTTTGAATCACTCTCTTATACACCTGAAATTAATATATCATTGCATGTTAGCCGTACTGGAATTAAAATCAATCAAGCAATCAATCCCTATTGGGCTTCTCTGAGAATCTCCAATTACTGATGATAAGTCCTGTACCTAGTTATTTTTAATTGGGGGATAGAAGAGGGGGCAGTGGTATTTGAGAATATTACAAAGGCAGGGATAACCCCGCCTAGTTAATGTTTGTACACTCACACACACACACACACACAGGTAGAGGCAAAGGCACAAAATTGTGTGTACAAATCTCAAGTCTCCTAGATTTCTTGAAGTCCATCCGTGATTATCCTGTTCATCTGTGGACCCAGACTGAGATCATCTGATCTAACCTACCCCATATTTTAAAATTAAAAGAAAAAAAAATCTGAAGCCAGCAGGATTACAGCTTTGAATTAAGTGACTTCCTCAGCAGAACAGAGTAGGCAAGCTGAGACCAAAACCCACATCTTCTGATTCCTACTTAAGTGCTGTTTTCTCAAACAGCTTCCTTTGCTGTCTTCCATTATCCTGGTGGTAAAAGAGTGCTACTTCCCTGTCTTGTAGAGTTCTTAGATGGAATATTTACTAAAACTTTTGCACATCATAAATATTTGCATTCTTCCCCACTAAACGTTGATGCTTGCCATTATTTGCATAATAATACCCAGGAGGTGAATTAGGCAAATTAGTCTTTGGTGTACAATAATTCTCAGATTGTGTCCTCAGATTTGGCTGTGAGAAACACAACAGAGCTACAGGCTAAAAAAATTTTTATGAAATACTGACAAAGGCCTAAGTTTTTATAGCTTTAGTGTCATCTCTATCCAGAAGACTTTAGAAATATTTTACTCCGGGGGAAAAAAAAAAGAATGTAGACTTGTTTGAGGGGTTTTTTTCATTGGGTGTTTGGTTTTCCCAGGTGCCCCAAATTAAACTAACTCACACTTTCTGGCTATCACTCAAAGGGAGCTGACGTTGCTACCGCTTTCCCAGATCCTTCTAAAAACTAAAGGATTTTGTTCTGGCATTTTAATCAGTGATTAACTACTCCCTTCTTTTTCCTGCTGTGTTAAGTAAAAGATCCATATGCCGGGTGTTGTAGGGAATTTGTTAGGCCGTAGATCATAGCTGTGGTGCAAGACATGATGTGTCTCAAGGGAACTAATGAAGCCATAAGGAATGTAAAGAGTCACCGGGTTAAAGCCACATTAGGACAGCTGTTAGGTTAATGAGGGCCCTGCTTTGGAGAGGAGGTCACTGTATGGAAAAATATGAACCACGCTTTATTGGTTTGATCCCATGTCCTCTGCAAGTTAATGGGTCTTTCTTATTCTCCTCTGACATTCATTGGGCCAGATGTGAATGCTGGGCACTGCACAAGCTGCATGGGTTTGAGACTTAGGCTGTCCCCCATCCTTGTTTTTGGCAAAGGCAGGAATGACAGACACCAACACAGAACACTTTCAGTTTTCCATCACACTCTTTGTCTGATTTCTTTAAAATCAATGTTTGTTTTGTGACTCTGAGTGCAGCGCTGAGCTCCTATCTGTCTAAAGGACTGACTCGAGATGTGCGGTTGGCCAGACAGGAAATATAGGAGTCGAATCCTCGGATGCAGTGGGCACTCCATAAAGGTTTGCTGGAAGAATGGAGATGTGAACAGATCTGACTCCAGATTTAAACCAGGTAATCACAGAACTGTAATAAAAGCAATTAGATTTGATATATACAGAATTCGTAACATTGTTATAGATAATATCATGATACATACACTACCTATAGTACTATATCATGCAATGTATGTATGTAAATTATCATAAGTTGTGGTTAGCGGTAGTCATTTCTGGAGAGGAATGCTGTATCCCAATGTAACAGACAGTCGATAGTTCCAGCTGTAAAACATCTGCACTGTAAGCCTCCACGCATCTATGACCCTTCTCTTCACTCACCCTCCTAACCCATCTCCTGCTTCCACCATCCGATGCCTACATTCCACCTCTGAATACCTTTTGCCACGGTCCTCTCCTTTCCATTCCCATGGTCCCCCGCCGACCCATTCATGCCCACTGCCCATCACATTAGCTGTGAGAGGCCTTACCTGAAACCCAAGCCCTCCACAGGATGTCCTCAGCCTAGATTTCCAACCATATTCCTCCCCGCTGCCACCCCTCTTCCTACCCTCCAAGCAAACTGAACGATTCCCTGTTCCTTTGACATGAGCAAAAATGAAAGATCACCAGGTATGTAACTCATGTGCATCCAACTCTCTGTGCTTTTGCCCACATTAGTCTCTCTTACTAATGTACTCTCCCCACCCTCCCTGTCCAGAGAATTTCTATTTAGCTCCAAAAGTTCATCCTAAATCTGCCTTCTTTGTGAGCCTCTTTTGTTATCCAGCAAGATCTTTCTTTCCTCTTCTCAACTCCCACTGCACTTTCTCTCTTATGGTACTTATCATATCTGTTTGTTTTTTTTAATTATTTGTGTTTACCTCATTAACCATATTAGACTGTAATATGGTTATTACATATAACCTTGGGAGACTTGTCTTAATCCATCTTAGCATTCCTTCACTTTCTTAGCACTATGATGATATATGGCAAGTCAAGTTGAATGAGACAATCACTCTGACTAGGCTCTGTACCCTGGAAGAGGCTATTTCTGTAAAAACCTAGAATAGGAGAGGTAATCAGCTGCATATGAGAAAGCAATGATCAATCTAGAGACCATATCAACTGACTGGTTCACTGCTGAGTCTCCAGCCTCACTTTGACGATGATAAGGTAACTTAAGGAGTTTCAGGATACCCTAATACATTTTTAAGCCTTCAAACAGTGTTTTACTATCTTTATTAATAAGGAAAACGTTATTCTATCAATCAATAGAAAACTATTATACCAAAGTAGTCTTTCCAGAGAGTTCAGACTACTTCTAAAAGTTCAGGAGATAATTCAAACTATTCCTAAAATAATATAGTTACTTGAAATGCTTCAGGACTACAACACCTTTAGAAGGAATTTTTCTTTATACACTTTTGCCCATCCTCATAATTGAAAGGCCATCAAGAGCAAGTATATAGAATCCAGCTATGTCTATCATTGACTAGTTTTAGGACTTTGGGTAGTTACTTCAATAGTCTGACAAATAAATTGGGGATAATAATAGCACCAACCTACAGTTTTAATGACGAGTAAATGGGTTAATTCATGTAAAGCACTTAGAACAGTGCTTGGTCCAAGGAGAACACTCATAATTTGTTTGCTATTATCTGTGTACCACCCCTGAAGTCCATATAGTGCCTGGTATGTAACAAGGATTCCTGAAATGGGGAGTGAACAACAGGAACTGACACACTGCTGGGTGTTTTATCTGATATAATCGTATTCTCCTAATTATGATAACCAAAGGCTAAAATAAGAATGCACATTTTTGTAAATAACAACAACAAAAAAAACTCTAAGAATGCAAAGAAAATAAATAGATCATTTTAAAATCTATCCACATAAAATACTTATATCCAACAACATGACAGAAAAGGAGCCAAACATACTGATCACATCGATAAATTCAATTCCACTTACCCACCTGTTAACTGAGAAAAAAAAAAAAACAGTCTGACTGGTTAGCAAAGTAAAATACTGCTGGATACAATAGACATACCTAAAACAAAAGACATTCAATGGGGGTGATCAGGCAAATATAAATAAAAATTAAAAAGAGGTCACGATAGTGCCATCAGGACAGGGCAAAAGACAAAAAAAAAGCACTAGAGAGAACATGGTGGGAACTTTATGCCACTAAAGGCTACAAATTCACAGTGAGGTACCATTCCTAACATATTTATTCTCTGGGTTTAAAATCTGCTTTAGGGGCTCCTGGGTGGCTCAGTGGGTTAAGCATCTGCCTTCAACTCAGGTCATGATCCCAGGGTCCTGGGATCGAGTCCCGCATGAGGCTCCCTGCTCAGCGGGAAGCCTGCTTCTCTCTCTCCCTCTACTTCTCCCTCTCCCTCTGCTCCTCCCCCTGCTCGTGCTCTCTCCCTCAAATAAATAAATAAAATCTTTTTAAAAAATAAAATGAAATAAAATCTGCCTTAGATGAGAAGACACTGTTTGGTTTCCTGTCCGGATTTAATCAGGGCGTGGATGTTTAGAGTCAGTACCTGGACTCGGGCCTCGGTGAGCTTCGCCCTCTGTGCCAGTTCCTCCCTGGTATAAATATCAGGGTAGTGGGTTCTCTCAAAAGCTCGTTCCAGTTCTTCAAGCTGTTCTGCTGTGAAAGTGGTTCGGCTCCTGCGCTGTTTTCTCTTTAGTGGCAAATCTGGTTCAGAGTCAATGTCAGAGCCTTCATCTGATTGGGGTGCTGAGGCTAAACGCATGGGAGAAAAAAAGTGATAAAACAGGAGTCAAAACACAAGTTTGACCAGGATTTAATGATTCAAATCCTAAAGTACATTCCCAGTGTCTTCACAGACACCAAGCCCCTCTGTGCAGTATTGCATTTATTAAATGATATTTAATCTCTTCCCCTACTTTGTCTCCAAACCCCCCAGGCAGAAATCATTGTTCTCTGCATCTGTCACCCTAGGTCCATTATGAGATCTTAGAAAACAGGGACAGGCATGATTCCATTTTTATGGCCCTTGTGCTTAGCACTGAATGGGTCCTCCATTTGTGTTTGACAAATGAATCAGATTTAATGTGTTTCCAAATAAACGTTCGCCACCTTTGACAGGAGGAAATCCGTTAACAAATGTGACTTTTTTTTTAAATCCCAAAATTGACTTAGTATCTAAAAAGTCAATAATAGTAAAATGTTACAGGATTCCTACAAATTTATAGACTCTACTCCTATAATAGAAATCATATTTAAATTTAGTATCTTATTACCAGATATTGAGAAATGTTTAAGGAGAGTTTAGATATTGTTAATGTGAACCTCAAGAACAGACTCAAGAAAAAGCAGGCATAGTCTAGTAAACTATCTCTAAACCGAAGTTCAGAGTCTGAGTGTCTGCTGAATGGTGAGCAGCTGCCCAGGACCACTGCCTAATTTGAGGAACACAGTGCAAAATAAAAATGCAAGTCCCTGTGTTCAAAAATTAACTACAAATTTTGGGATGGCCACAACAGAGCATAAAAACCAAACACAGGGCCCGTCTGAGCATGGGGCCATGGGTGGGCGACTGCATAGGCCACGTGTCCCGGAAACCAGTCCCCTGCAGGCCCCTCCACAGCAAAGTTTGAATTTGTCTGTGTTAGCCTGCATCAGGGAAGGAGACCTTCCATATTTAGCGTGTAAGTATCTACGAAAGAGGAGGAACTGGGAAATTAGATAGGAATTTGCACTGATGATAAAATACGGCGCCCGTGAGTTCTTACAGTAACTAAGCACCTGTCAGCCTACAGAAGGTTCTGAGGTTTGAGGGCACAGCAGACACAGGGCTCTGGGCAGGAAAGCAGCCCTCTCCCAGAGGCCCTGGACGTCGGGGCAGTAGCAGAGGGCCATCAGAGGGCTCTCAGGCACCTACTCTGAGCAGAACTCAGGAGCCAGGGCAGCCATGCTCCTGAGCATATCCAAATACACTCTGAAAACTCCCCAAATAACTGGGGGATCCTCTGGGGAAGGGGCTGAAATGTGCTGTTAGCAAATGGGGAAGGAAATCCAGAAAATTGTAGATTATTAATTTCATTGTCAAGGCAACTCCTTTGCACTCTCAGGCTGTAGGGCCTGGGGAAATCCAGGTGGTGCCAGAAGCAATGTCAAAATGCAGTATTTCCTATACCACTCATTCTCTTTTATCTTAAACTCAAACTCAACTCTGCCCTACAGAAATCTAAAATTCCATTAAACTTCAGAATATTATAAGCCACCCAAAGGGGTGTACATCCAAAATAACCCATAAATAGAATTTTAAGTTTTTTTAATATTTAATACTTTTACAATTTATTCACCTTCAAACTATAAAATTAAGAGATTGAATTAATAATCTCTATGACAAATTAAAGAAAAACAAGTGCTTGTAGATAAAAGCAAAAGGGAACTGTAACATATAGTGCATCTAGTATATGTTAGCCATTACACTTGGTGTTTCAATTATGTTGTCTAATTTGATATAAAATGGTCTAATTTGATATAAATCTTATTTTAGGATACTTAAAAAAATAAAACTAGACTTGCTTTAGGTATGGGAATATTTTAAAGGAGAATTAACATGCTAAGAAATGTGCATTGCATTATAAACTTCAAAAGCTCCCAATACAACTTATACGTGTTTATGTTTGATAAATGTGAGTCAAATTAAAAAAGCAATAATTTGTGCATCATTGTATAGCAGTGGATCTTGAACTTTGGGAGCATCAGAACCACCTGAAAAGCTTATTAAAATACAGACTGCTGCTCCCCCGACCCCCACAATTTCTGTTTTTGGGGATGGTGGATGCCAACTTTGCTGGTCCTACATGACCCTTTGAGAACCACCTCTATAGAATATTCCAGATTATTATTTTCTCTCCCCAAATTCCCAAGTACATAAAATACTTCCTGCTGTAACTTATCAAAACAATGGTTCCACACACATATTTTTAAATTATAAATAATACACTTCTCAAGAAACAGATTATTCATTCCCCTAAGACAATAAATTGCCATAAAATGTTTCCCTACCCTGCTTTCCGTTTCTATTGCCCTGACTTTTCCGTCTTCTGTGAATTCAGGTAAAAAACCCAACAGCATTTAAGGACTGACCAAAAGCTTCCTCTGCCTTGTGAGAACCTTAAATCTTTGCTTGCACTTTCTCTTACTATGATCCCATTAGGATAATAGTATGTGGAAATTTTCATGTTTCCTCTGGGAGTCTCTAAGGTTATTAAATCCTCCCAAGTAAATATGATGTGCCATGCACTGTCAGGTCAATTAATCAGAATCATCTCCAGTTTCTGAGGAAAGGGGGCTCCTGAAATGTACAAGTACCAGCGAGAGTTAATTCTGAGGATCAAGACCACCATGTTTCACCTTAACAATCAACATCCTCTGGAATATAAACTTTGTGAGCTCAAGGTCTTTCTCTGCCTTGTTCACTGCTGGATGCCTTGAAACATAGTAGGTGTTCAATAAACACATGTTGACAGAATGGAAATGCCTGGTAGAATTTAAGTTTTGAACCAACACCGATTTCTCTGCCCCTATTCTGCCCTTCTGAGTCTCCCAACATCTACTGAAATGAGACTTGGGAGTCTGTAAATCCTCAAAAAATGATTTGGAAGATTTTGCAAGTATTTGCATACCTGAATTTTTCTGGGAAATAATTATCAATTTTTTCAGAGGATTGTGATTTAAAAAAAAAAAAGAAAGATGAAGAATCACCAACAGCTAATTATTTAAAAGCCTCAGAATGTCTGTTCAATAGGACAGCCTTTACCACTCAAAATAAAATTTTCTTTAACAAGCTAACAAATCACTACTCGTATTTCTAGACTGTTTATTCAAAAGCAATGCAACGGTTGCGTCTCACTAGAAAAATCTCCATAAAACATCATTTCAAAAGACACTGAGGAAACGACTTGCCTGATTTTTCTGCTGGAAAATTATCTGAACCCACTGATCCTTCTTGTCAATATGAAGCCACGGTTGTACAAGTTAATTCTGACTTTCCTCCATCTGTACACCCCAAAAGGATGTGGGCTTTAAAATATGTTAAGTCAGCAACCCAAGATTAATCTACCAGCTAGGAAATACTAGCTATTTCTAAGATGGAAATACTACTGTTTTTATGTCACTCAATAGAAATAAGATTTACAGAGAACATGATAATGTCATGAATTTGAATCATTCCGTTCTTACCAAAAACAGATCTGATACTTACACCCCATTGCAATAGCACAAAAAAAATTCATTTTGTTGAAGTCCATTTATTTTACGTATTCAACTTTAGACCCTAGATACAAAGTACCTCATCCTGCTTAATATTACACCAAAATAAAAACAAGGCTTTTTTTTTTTTTTTCAGATAGCTCATTATATTTGTCTCTGCACAGAATATCTAATGCTCTAACTTGGACATGCAAGCACCACCAGCAAGGCCATTATCTAAATGAGTTCATAGATTGTGAGGATAGAGCAACTAGATTAAATATAATCTCTTTGGTAAAATCATCTCTTTGGATTATTTCTACTGTCCAGCCCTAATATTAAGGGGAGATTTTCAATTACATTTAAGTTGCTCAATCACATTCTACACATGCCTTCACAAAGTTTGCTTTGTTACTCACTAAAGAGAGATATTGTTCCCCAATTTGAAATTCCACAATAGCACTCATATGAAATTGTGTTAATTAACTGAATTTAAATTTTAAAAAAATTTTAAATCCATATTAACATATAACACATGCCATTCTAAGTGGAGATTGTATTGCTTTAAATTGCATGATTCTCAGACTTTATCCCAATCCATATTCTTATCAGATTTTGAAAGTTTTGACTCTATTTTCAAAACCCCCTCACCATCCATTCTCTGACTCAGACATTCACGTAACTCAGTGTCTCTAATGAACCTGGAGCAAACCTTACCAAGAAAACAAGGATTTCTCTCTCTTCCCAAAGTAACTATACAAAAACCCTGTGAAATAAATGCACCATTGTACAGAAAAAGGAAACTGAGACTCAGAGGCATGATTCAGATCACACGACTAGGGATGCTAGGATTTGACCCAGGTCTATGGGGCTTCAGGGGACATACTTTCTCTCTTCTAGCCTGGTATGTTCTAAATAGGCGCTGAGTTTCTTTCTTTCTCTCTCTCTCCCTCACACACACACACACACACACAACACGGAGTCCTTTTGAAGAGGAGTACCAGAAGCAAATCCAAACAGGAATTCCAATGCAAATTATTTAGCTGATTGCCAACTATTACTCTCATTTGCCCCAGATTTTCAAAAACGTCCTAGAATCAAATGAAATTTATGAAAACACAACAGTTTGATTAATATTATACACCAAATCAAACAATTTTCTAATTGAATTTAATTCAATTCAATGAACATTGATTGAATTCTTTGCATATTCAAGTGTAGCTGTTAAATAAGGATAAAGCTCTAAGAAATGAATCAATTTGCCAAGATACTGAATGTATTTATTTAAGAAAACAAAAGAGTCAGTGTGACCATTTGCAGTCCCCCTTAAGAATCATCAGCGGCTCCTGGTCCTAAGATCCCAGGTCCATCTAGAACATACTACCGATCACAAGCAGTTGAACTGATCACTCATTCTATAGCTTTACTAAATCCTTCTTTTTTGCTATTAAAAACATGTTAGTGAAAGGATCTCAAGTGTTGTAAAGTAACCTCAAACTGTTTTCAAACAAAAGGGC